AATTAGTATTTCAAATAATATATATATAATTAATTATTTAAATTTTGTATTAGTTCAAGATTTTTATATATATAAATTGATAATAATTATCCCTCCCCTGTAAAAATTTATACCTTAATTTAATCCAATTTTGTTCATAAATAAATAAATTCAAGTTCACCGTGTAATTTGTTAAAAAACCTTAGTTAATAATTTACAAGGCGTTACGTTAAAATTAAGGTATAAATTTTTACATCATACATAAACCTTATCAGACATTTTGTGAGCACGTCAACAGGAGGTAATTTAGCTCACAAAGTTGTTGACAAGATGATTAAACATGAAAACTTGAAGGAACATTATAATTGCTCCTTATTCGAGAAACTTTTGAATAATTTTTTCTTAGATAATAATTAACCAGGTTTGTAATTCATCGGTAGCAAGAATATCCAATGGTTGTTTCTATCATCAGTGAGGAATTTTAGCCGTATATGAAAGATTTTCTATTTAGTTTAGTGACAAATAAAATTTTTACAAAATGAATTTCTGAATATATGTTTGGTTTTTTGAAGAACGGCGGCGTAAAATAAAAAATGTGCTTTAAAATTTGAAGATTCTCATGTTGACCAACTTTATTGTGACATTGAATAATTTCTTCGAGCAAGATGGCTTGTTAAAGTATTAACGTTAACTCATGAAAATAAATTTTGAAAAAAAAAAAATATTTCAAGTATACACAATAACTAGATAAAAAATAATAAAGCCTGGGAGCTAACAATTAAGCGTAATCATTAATCACTAAGTTCTGCTAAATCCTGTAACAAATTCAGCTGTTCTTGCAATTTTCTCAACACAATCTCCATTCGACTATGTATAAATCGCCAATTCTTATTCCATTCTTGTTCAATTAAAGCATCTTCACGAACCGTAGCATCCGACATTCTATTTACATTGGCAAGTTTTTTCTTTACTAGCCAGTTATGTCGGTCTTCTTCGGTTGTGAGTTTTTCATATTCTTGCATTGCTGAAATTACATTATCACGCCAATAAAGACGGTCAGCGTGATTCCCAGTGTATGGAAGAATAGCGAGAATGTGATCGGGGATATCTTCTTTAACTGCTAGATCGAAATATCTAAAGTTTAAAAAATTCAATTTAAAAAAAAATACATGCATTAAAGTTGTATTGTCCAGAAATGTTAATTCACCTCGCAGTACGGCCATCTAAACAAACTCCACATGTTCTAACTCTAAAGACCCAAATAACCTTAACAGTATCGTCAGGGTGTCCACAAAATTGACATCCACGCTCCAGCATGTTCAATTCGATATAGGATTTCTCGTCCATGCCATCAGGTGGCGCCATTTGAAGCCTAGGCATGAACAAAAGACGCGATGCACGCCAGATTGCTTGAGTCGTTTGTGAACTGGTCGAGCATAGTAAGCTCCGGAGATGATTACAAACTTGTGATAGTGAAATAAGGTCGATTGGTGATAAGTTTATGGAAATTTCAGCGAAAATTTCAGGCGGGATTGTTAGAATTGATGGTGAAATATATGAAGTTTGTGTATCATTGTTGATATCGTTGTTATTCATGGTCTGATTGTTGTAATCACTAACAGTGTTGGAATTAATATTAGTGTTGTTTCCTTTTTTTTTTATGTATGACATTTGATAATTTTTCGTACCTCATTATGGACCCAAACTTCTCTAACACAAAAATTGGGGAAATGTTAAGTAGAATGAAGATCCTGAATGATATTATTTGATGTGTTGATAAAAATAATACAGTCCGGTAATTTTGACCTATGAAATTTTATAAGCCAAAATGATCCAGTTGTATGTAATTAATAGTGACTTTATAGTGTATCAAAAAATCCACTATACATGTATTATCGAGTTTTTGAAAATTTATTATTAGTTAATATCTACTAAATGTATATCGAGTAGATACATCGGTATCATCCCATTAATCGTTGAATTTAAGTAGTGTGACTGTATTCATGTATATGTGCATGTATTACGATAAAGATGGGTTTTTGTGTTACCGAAGAAAAATAACAAGATAAATTATAGATAAATATGACAGAATTTTCTTATAATAATAAAGGTAATTATAATGTTAAGCTTTATTTTAAACAAAAGATGTTTCTTCTAAAATTTTACTCTTCTATCACGATTCTTTTTAATATTACTACATGTGTTTTGCTACTTTACGTGTTTGGGTTTTCCATGAATATCAATCTTGCGAATTCTGGAATAATTGATAGCAATGCTAGTAAGATTATAGCTACAAGCAACAATGTTTATAACACGAATATAATTTTAAATATATATATTTCTAAAATATACGATTAGAATGCGTTACGTGCTATGAATTTCCAAATTGCCCTCCTCAACCATGCGACGACAAAAATTATCGATGTTTTATAGAGCCTCCGACTTGTTTTTCGTGCGGGTCATCTTTTTGTGCGCCAAAATTATCTGGTAAGTAATCATTTTTTATTTTGGAATTTTTATTATTCCCAATAATCGTAATAGAATTCTCTTTGTTTTCTTAAAAGAATGCATCTTTTGCATAAAGTTAATTCCCAAGTGCAAATGCCCAAAAAACATTTACAACGAGATGAATAATAATAATAATAATATTTATAACCTTAACACGACTAATTCCACTGAAAAATTATTTACTTGTCATATAATACCACAAACTTGTTTTACTTGCTCACGTGCAATTTGTGTTGAGCGACAACGTGATGAAATTGGTTATAGGGTCTTTAATAGAGGGGAATAAATGCAAGAACTGGAATCGATGAATCATTTAATAAATGTTAATTTTATAGATTAATCTAGTGCTCTATGAGAACAATTGTGGCGGATATGATAACATTTATATTGCAAAATATTAATGGATGAGTTGTTTAAAACAATTGAGTACAATGAATTAGATAAAAATTATATGCAAGTTAATGATTCAAAACATGTGGCTAATAAAATAATAAATGGTTTGATGATAATGGGGTTAATGTAATGGAATAACCATTTCAATTCCCTGATTTAAATCCAATTGAACATCTCTGAAATGAGGTAGAAAGGCACTTGAAACAATCAGACATGTCAATTAATAATCAAGATCAACTTTGGGAAGCAATTCAAAAAATTTGGATTACAATGGATAATGAGTATTTAACTAGATTAATTGAAAATATGCCTGAATTAATGGATGATGTAATTAATACTTAAGAAGGGTATATTAGGCGATAAAGAGTAATTTATTCATTAGTTAGTTGATTTTTATATGTTAAATTGATAAAAAAAAAATGCATCACGTAAAATTGCATAAATCGTTTTTTTTGATTTTACGATATCGATATCAATTGCTTAAATATTATCACTGTATCGGTATGTTTTATAAGATTTGACGATTATATAAATTTAAGTTTATGGATGTTCAATGAATGCGCGTAAAGTTATTAAACTTTTAAATCTGTCGTTTGGGTGATGCAAAACACTTGGCAGCCACTGTATTTTATACCATTTATCTTATTTCACAAGTCATATACAAATTATAAAAAATTACGTGAAAAAATATGAGAGCACTTGGCAAAATATTTACTATGAAATTTTGTTAATGCATATAAATTGAACTTCAATAGCATTATAATTTAAAAAAAAAACAAAGGCAACCCCGTTATACCGAAGTGGTCGGTACTATTAGTAAAAAATTTTAAAAAATTCGGTTTATCCGAGGTTTCATTAGTAAATTCGGTTTAACGGGTAGATTTACTATAACTGATCCTGGAGCCATCTTCGGTTGTAATTA